TAACCATTCGGCGATCGCTGCCAGTTTTCACCATTGCGATCACTGAGACATCACTGAACAGTTGGCGTCTGGTCGTCATTATGAAGTCAATCTCATTTTTTGTCGAGCCGTCGGGACACGACCAGGTCCACTTTCTGTCTGTTGAAGTCTGAAGTCTGTGAACACGTACAGGATCGCCCCCGTCACTACATCAGATTTGATAGACCGCAAATCCTCGCTAAAGAACACCGATTCCTTCCAAGGATGATTCGCGAGGTTATTGAAATCAAAAAACATCCTAATTTCAATAGAGAAGATGGCTGGGTGCTACCATCTGCTTGGGATCCTATAATAAATAAAATTAAATCCCAACCCAAGCATACAACTGCAAGACTTCAAGATACCATAAGTTCATACTGCATAGATCGGAAAAAAAGTTAAATTTTAATCTATGGTAACCGCGGTTAACTATGACATATGGACGTTGAACATCTCAGTCCTGCCCGTGACCATGAGTGCTGTAAAGCGTTCGAAACGTCGGGTAATTAAAAAGTTAAATATACGCGATAAATTCCGTAAAAACTAGTATTATTTAAATGTGATTTTTCGTTAAATATTTATTTACACCTTTCTACTTTTTTTTCTTTCTAAATATTTTATACCGTTAACCGTTTATCGGCGATTATCTGTTTGTTTGTACTTTTAAATTACTTGACAAATTTTTAATAAGTTATATTGTAAGGATAAGTAATTATATTGTAAGGATAGTAGTCTTAACTCGATCTGTAAGAAGCCGGGAAACTGAAAAGTAGCTAACAAAAGAAAGTCAGTTACAGATCTTTAAAACTAATAAAAATGTTAAATATGTCACCCATACATATATTTATATCTTTGCGGTTTGTAAAATGTTGTATTCATTTTATTTATACATCTGTTTATTTAATGCAATGCTTTTATTACAAGTTTCCAAAAGATCCTGTTATTAAAGTAAATGGATATATTTATTCTTAATGTATTCTATCCCCTTTTTTCTAATTATAAAACGTCTAAAAGCTAAAGCTAAGACTAAAAGCGTCTATTAGGTACTGAGACAATTTCAGTTAATTAGTTATATCTTGGCGTGAGACTCCTAGAAGATTAACGAGGCTTATTAGAAAGTTATCGAAACGTGCGTTGCGATGCACTATGCCCAAGTGAGAGCGAGCGCGCAATGTCATTCTCTGTTTTTCGCACACTTTAATTATTGGACCGAGTGGCTACGCCTCCTGAGATTTTGTGTTTTTATAAAATATTCCTTAACACAATAGTTTATAGATTAATCTTTGTTGCATGAATGTTAGAGGTATTTATAGGCGTAATTGTGTATTTATCGTTTGTCTATGTGTGAGAGCTAGGACCTGGCGACACGCGTCCCGATATTAAAAGACAGTTGAAGGCATTTCTTTTGTCTTATTATTTAGATTTCTGTGGTTATATATGAACATTTCGAAGGAAAGTTGTTAAATGTAAAAAATTAAACTAAAATCTTTTTTATGTCTTTTTTCCTGCATTGATACGATTGTTAAACTTTGATTCTTTTAGAACCACACCAGCGTTTAATAACTCCTGTAACTAGCGTAAAGTCACTGTCCTTATTCCCGTATGCCCTTGAAACAGACTACAGCTGTCTTAACATTATGTATATAAGTGGTACATTTTTCCCAATCAAGCTTTATACGTACTTTAGTTATAGATTTTTATATCTCTACTGTTCGGTATAGAAACCTCATTTCGCACTAAACAGTTTTACAATTAATCCAGGTTCGATAAGTATCATTTTCTTTGGATTTTCCATGATAACTGGCAAGTCTACTTACTTATCCACTCAATATTGCACCTAATATTATTGGTAAGAATACATATTAGAAGTACTCGCTTAAAGTAAAGGATTACAAAATGGCGGAATAACACTCTATTCATCCATTACAGCGCATAAAGTTCTCTGCTGAACATAGGCCTCCCCAATAAATTGCCTCATAATGGAGTACTTGCCATGCTTTAGCTTTTCAAATCATTGTCCGTCAGGCGCCAACATTATTTTCCATAAATGTCCCATTTTGTTAAATTCGACACGAATCTCTAAAAACAATATTAAAATGTCTATACAGAATCAAAGTAGAAAAAAACTAAAAGAGTTATAATTAATAAACAAATTAAGAAGAATTTCCTTCACTGACTTCAATAAACAGTCATTAAGCGCGATCAAGAGACGGCAAACTTTACCGTAGATAAACTGAACTCAGTAATTACACGTGGAAATTGCACAGCACTTTCCATTCAGGCAATTGGTGAAAGCTTAATACCTGCACTGTGTTTCAAGGCACGATCCTAAGCCACTTACGTTACGTACTAATATCCAATAATCCTAAGCAAGATGTATTAGTTATTAAAACGATACCTTAATTCGTTCTGCTTATTTTAAAGCTGTGCGTGCCTTTTTTTTTTTGGGGAAATGCCTACGCATACCCGCTTCGCGGGGGCAGGGACGGGTTATGTCGGACTTGCACCGACTAAAACCCCATGGTGTTCCACCTTTGTCGCATATTGGCAGGGCTACGGGAACGCTTTCGCACACATCCGCGGCCCTACTAGCGCCTGCCGCCCCATGGCAGCACCTCCTCGGGAGAGGAAAATTCCTCCCCGTTCTCCTTCCCAGGTAAGGCGCACCAGAACACATGGCGCGCCTTCCTCCACGGCCTCCAATTACGTCTGTGCAACAGACGCTCCCGCGTCCGATACACAAAGGCCATGGGGCCAGGAAAAACGAGCACTTAGAAGTACTAGCCTTTCCGACCCCAGCGGCGGGTCTGGTCTATGGCTCCGCCGCCAACCAAGATTCGGCTGCGGAGGGTAGGGAGAGCGGCGCCTCGCAATACCGACAATCCTCTCCCCCCCGCAGCCCCACCACCACCGCATCAACGGTGCGGCCCCGTTTGAGTCGCGAAGGATAGGGCGAGTGGCGCATCGCCATACCAACACTCCTCTTCCTCCGCGACTCCACCTCGGCTGCAGCGGTAGAGGGTGCGCGAGTCCCCACTCACTGCAGTCCACCAGCACACATCCAAAGTGGGCTCCCCAAGCCCACTCGGAGTGGCCACCTCAGGCCAGCCCTTCACCTCGGGTCAGCCACGTGGGTTCCTCTTTGTTCACCGTGGGAGACCAAGCCACGGCCACGACAAGGCAGGAACCCGTTCGGGGGGGAAGCTGTGCGTGCCTGCTGGTTCATCTAACAAAAAATCTAAAAAAAGTTACCTTTTATTTAGCTTATGAAAAGCATATTCTCAATATATTATTGTCTGCCTTGGTCTAGTGTTCCTAAGCGCGTCTGCTAATCATGTAGTCCTGGAATCGAATACTGGGCGGAGCCAAAGTTAGTTATTTGGTTTTTTGACAAGAAATTCTCAGTAGCTGTCTGGAGCCAGGAAGTTGGCGATGTATTCATGTTGTTGGTTCTGCCCCTGATCTTTCTCCAGTCGTGTCGAATTACCATCCCATTAAACTATGAGAGTGAGATAATAAAGAATGCACCTGTGCTTGTGCACACACTCGTGCATTATGATCCTGTTATTCGCAGATGGATAGCGTCCGTTAAAACTGGCCACCATGATCGTAATTCAGTCTGGAGAAAGACATCCTCAAATAATACATCCACATTAAAATTTTAATATAAATAAAAATAACAAATTATGTGCATTGTGCATGCCAAGTACAGACTACTTTTCCACTCACTTTTTCGAGTGGGTTTAGGAGCGAAAAATAATCTATCATCATACAAAAAGAGTATAAAGCATCTTTTTAAACCTGAACCTAAAATATCAATTAATAAAAGGAGAAATTTCTCAAATTTATATCATTTAAAAAGTGACACGTGTGACATGTGGGTTTTGAAAAAAAAATTATACTATTTTAATGAAATATATCTTATATATAAAAATCTCGTGTCACAGTGTTTGTGATCGCACTCCTCTGGAATGGCTCGACCGATTTTTATGAAATTTTTTATTTATATTTTTGGTAGATATGAGAATAGGTAGTAAAGTATATTTAGTGTCGGTAGGTAGCACTGTAGTTAATATCCAGAAATCACTCGAACAAAGCATGGGTAGACCGCCAGTTTCTTATAAAACTTATGGTTAAAATAAGCTAACCAACGTCTGGATGAGAACCACTCCCTTATCTACTTCTGCCGACAACAGTAAGTGCAGAGGCTGCAGTACCAGCACTGCTTTGTTACGGTCTTAGGAGTACAGAGATACAGTATAATTACAGTCTGAGAGGAATTCCATTTTAATCCTCACTGGTGATACGCATCTCTACCTTTCTTTGTTTAAACTTGGTTATAGCTGCCCATGGGCTGCATTAATCACTTTCCATCAGATGAACTGTTAGTTTGCTTGTCTCTTCAACTTTGTAAATAAAAGCTTTTGATAGGCAGGCCGGTAAGGACAAGCGTAAATGAAGATAACCAATGGGTTGGTGGTTGTTGGCGATGGAATGACGTTGTGGGGAATCCCAATGTAGATACAAGCAGGATTCTCGTTGATACATTGTATACGATCCCCGTGTTTGTGGCAATCTATTGGAGATATTCAGCAGGGATTTTGATGTGCTGATATGTTAATTCATCGTTAAGTAAATAATATTTCTTATGTACGGACGTTATACTTAACAATGTACTAGTTACTTATGCCTAACAGTAGGTGCAGAAAGTGTTCATCGGGTTCTGTAATAAAGTCACAAATGTCACTGATGTTTCTATTTGGAATCCACAAGCTCACAGATAATGATATTGATATTGGCGACACAATAATGTTTCCTACTTGGTAGCGGCCTAGCGTGGGCAGTGACGGAGAACGACTGGCGTTCGGCGCCGAGCGCACTTCGGATGCCAATTCAGCAATATGTATGTAAATACTGTTTCCTTACAATTATATTAATATACAGCTTGTATTCACAGATCGAACATTAACCCGGGTACATCAATGACGGAGGCTGTAGAATGGTACACCAACGCGAACGCTGCTTTGCTCAATCATCTGACAAAGGAGATAAAAGACACGGATAGCAGCACTATATGGAGGTATTTTTGATTTATAAATTTTAAATACAGAGGTACTTTCACGTCAAACTTTACAGTCACACAGTCCACTTGATGGTGAGTGGATGCTGTGACACATAGACGTCCACATTTATCTTCAATCAAGAATCAAAATGCAAATGCGTGTCACGCCTGAGGACTAACATGGAATGCCTTGATTCTAGTAAAATGGTCTGGGGTTCTCTACACTCACCATACGAAACACAGCAGCATTACGCTGCTATTTTACGTCAATTTTCTGTGAGAGCGTGGTTCTGCTCCGGTCGAGCCGATCTATTCAAGCTACTACTACTACTAAAAAATGAAAAATAATTATTTTTTCGTTCTATTTACAATATGCATTGGGGTCACGTCACGCATCAGCAAAATGTCCATGCCAAAATTTAATAAATTAAAACAGCTTATATACTATAAACCTTTAAAAATTCTACGGAAAAATCATTAGTCTTATGTATTATCATATCAATTTCAACATTTTAATATATTATTAGAATTGTAGACGCCGGAACGGTTCCCCTTTAATCTATAAATTTGCAAAGTTTGCTCCACTTTCAGCATTGAATGAGTTCTTTGTCCACATAAACACGTTTCTGAAGTTTAATCCCGTTAAATTTAACCATTTGTCCATAATCTTTGCCATTTTAGTTTTTATTTTATCGACTGATCCAAAATTAACGTAGAATTTATCTGCATATTTTTTGTAAATTTTGTCATATGCCGACTCTTTCTCGTGTATCTAACTAATTAATTATAAAAGGAAAAAACAATAATACATAGGTGATAATTAACAATGAAATTTTAAGTGATTACATGAGGTATATTGTAGTTTTAGCACGAAAAGGTTGGCTCGACCAGGGCAGCACCACGCTCTCACAGAGTACCAACGTAAAATAGCAGCGTATTGCTGCTGTGTTACGTATGGTGAGTGTAGAGTACCGGAGACCAATTTTACTGAAATTGAGGCATTCCATCTTAGTCCTCAGGGGTGATAACTCATTTGCATTTTGATTCTTAATTGAGGATAAATGCGGATGTCTATGGGTCACAGCATCCAGTTATCATCAGGTGGACTGTGTGCTCGTTTGTCACCTTATTCTATTAAAAAAATTAAATTAAATATAAATTCAGACCGTATGATTAGAATAAAATAAAATTCAATACATACATACATAAACATACATAAACACTCACGCCTGTCACCCAGAGGGGTAGGCAGAGACTTTAAAATTCAATACAATGCTAAATTAATACATTACAATCATGTAGCGGCAGTATAAGAATATCCACTACCCCATATGATTCCGTTGGTGTCGTAAGAGGCGACAGACGGAAACAAATCAGGAGATGAGCAGCAGCGTCTTTCTTGTAACAAATAAAAATAAAAACCTGCTTTTGCCGACCCGCTTGCTAAACGTGGCAACTATGGAAAATGTCACCCCTATGAGGCAATCTTTGGGGGAGGCCCATTTTCAGCATTGGGTTTTGATCTATAGACTGTAATGGTAACGATATAGTTAATCATCATAACCGCCCATCACAAGTCTACTGCCATTCCATCAAGGAATGCATGCATTGCCAGAAAGCACGGTCTTGAGCTACTTGAATCCATTCAATTGCTACATCTTTTACCAAGTCCTCACATCTAGATTAATAAGGAAACATAATATGTATGTCATCACCTTTAGCATCATTACAGCCCTTCACAAGTTCACTGCTGAACATATGTTTTAACCAAGGAATGCCACAAAGCACGGTCCTGAGTTACCTGCATCCATCGACTTCCTGCATGTTTTACCAGGACGTCACTTCATCTAGTTGGGGCCGCTCCACACTTCGCCTATCGGTACGAGGCTGCCACTCGAGAACCTTTCGTCCCCATCGATAGTATAGTAACAACATTATTAATCATTTTAGGGTCGGAACTAAACAATAAACAATACCCTCCGCAAGCTGTTGCATATCTCAAAACTAATTTGTTAACAACTAGCAACCCACCCTGGCTTTGCTTGGGTTCGATCTACTACTATGGCGTTATTTAAATTTAATATATTCAAAGTCTACATAAGCCACCAATTTTCCGTTTTATAAAAAATCTTCAAGTTTTACGGATAAAATGTAGTATACACTACGGGTATTGTTTTCTATCTGTTTGAGAAGTTTCTTTACACTCGGTTCAACTCTCTCCGAAGACTAGCCCATACAGTCAGACAGGCAGATAGACAGACAGAGAGACAAACAAAAATTTCAAAACTAGTTATCTTAATGCCACGAAAATAACCCCCTCAGCTCGGTATAAGGCAGTTTGTAGGAGTGCTGCGCACACACATGTATACGTAGTAATATTGTACCTATCTACTTAGTTACTATGATTTTTCAGTCAGTCATTAGTTGCCCGCCAACTGTATTGCGCATTCCTCTATAAATAAATATTTATTGTTTAAGAAATTTATTTCTCATAAAAATAGAACATTCATTTGTCTGAGAAACACAGGATTGACTTAAAATAGATAAATTATATGTAAATAAATAAATAAATATTTAATAAAAGTTACTCCATCTTTCATTATGGTCACCAGTAGTAGTATGGAGTCAGCTCCTAAAAATCATATCATATGACAGACATACGCTTTAATTTTGTTTATATGTATTGTATATAGGGATTACTTGGGTGACAATTCATGTAACAATACAATGCTTAATTAAACTAGTTGAGGATCTTATGCGATTAAATTAATTGATCATTTCCCTTCACAAAATAATATAGAACTAATGTCTTCACATTTATAAAGTGAATTAATGTGTTACAACGTCAGTCATCATCATCACCAGCCCGCAAAATAGGAACATTTACATAATGGTGTCTTATATTTACGCGAACACTACACTTTTAAATAAAGCTAGTTTTACTGAGAATTTGCCATGATTGTCACGCATAGCATAGGAATTTATTTTGATTGATTTGTACCGGTGTGGGTGCTGTACGAGTGCATGCAAACTAATTATAACGCCATCTATCGGAATTATTTATAATGAATCATTATTTATTTATAACGCCGCCGTGTAGCGGTGGTATGAGAAAATGCACTAGGTACCCCATATCATATGTTGTAAGAAACGACGGAGGCAAATGCTACTGATGAAATGACGGCTCCTTGGCGCAATGACTAAGCAATGAGTTGCAGCGATAAGCACGCGGGTTCAAATCCCGCACGGAACAAGTATTAGTATGGCCTAAAAATAATCATTCCAGGTCTGGATGTTTTCTTTGTAAAATTTATGTATTAACTGACAATATTAACGATACAGGAGAAAATCTTAGTGAGGAGGTAACGCTTTAAAAAAAGAGATGGAAATAGTAAATGGACTCAAAATAATATAACATCGCAGTTGCCAACCAAACTGGCAATCGTTGCAACTATGGCCGATTGCCAAGAGTGGCTTCATCGAATTCGCTAAGTAATTATACCCTAAGAACTTCATAAAACTTTATAAGTATCAACGACTAAAGGGTGTAAAACTAAAAATAATTGCCTCAAAAGATAAATAAACAGACCCTATGAAAATTTCAAATATTGAAAGTAGTAGCATTTATAGAGTAATGAGGTTAACTTAATTCGACGTGTATGAACATCTTCGATTAAGTTCAAGTTACGGGGGAAGTGACGCAGTTTTGTTCATAACAACAGGAAACTGGGTCGGCTGTTATTCTGTCGTTATTTTTACGAGATAAAATTTCCGTTCAAACTTTAACAATAAGTTAATATTTTCTAAAGAGCGTGTTAAATTACATATAATAGATATTTTATCCGACTTCGAAAAAGGAGGAGGTCTCAAATCCACTGTATCGTTCGTATGTATGATATGCGATATGATCGCCAATTGTAAAGCGATTTTAGGAACACTCTTTTTATAGAATAGGTTAAACTGCAGTGGTCGTCCCATATATATTTGAAGAAAATACTTCACCTGCAAGGTTCCTCTTCTACTGAAGAGGGAGTCCGATACATAAACACTGTTACTCACACATTCATACAACACTAGTACAGAACACAAAAATAAATTCTAAGGGAGGAAATATAGAAGATATTTCTGATGTAACTATTTAAACGACATTCTAGTGGTTACTTTGTGCTTATGATATACCACAAAAATTTACTTTTAACAAAGAGTAAAAGTCGACTAAAAATAATTAAAAAGGATAAAACACCACATAACATTACATTTCCACATAACCACTACTGATGTCGAGGCTTAAATTTTTTTTATATACTGTCTTCTAAAGCTTCTGGAGCTGACATGTGGATGTTTTCATTATTTTAAGTTTTTTTTTTTTCAGTCAGCTTTGGATATTAATTAATGATTAATTTTTTAATAAAAAATACGTGGCTTTTGTATAAAAAAAAAGGATATATCTCTCAACAGTTCGTTAACATTCCACTACTCTACTCTACTACTGTTCCTCAGTAATATTGTTTTGTATTTCGTAGGAATTTGGAGTTCGTAGGATTATAATTCGTTGATCTATTCGACTTCAGAAGTTGCCAATGTATAGAGATCGGATCCTTTATACAGTATCGGCTTCATTTTTTCACGAAACGCAAGGCGTCTTTACCCGACCTACTTTTCCTTAAACCGAGAGAAACTAGAGCTGAGTCCACGCAGTAATATGTAGAATAATTGAGCTTGCGATTATTTTGGCCGTCCCACGCTTGTTGGAGACAGGTTTTGATCGACGTCTCTTCTCTAAAAGAAAAAACCTGTCATTATCGACCTAATTTTGTTTCACCACGAAATTGATTTTATATCCACACTCTTTCGTTTTCTATCACAAGAGGGTGCCGGATGTGATTTTTTTTGAGAAATTTCCGCAAACGACCTTTTTGTTTGATTCGTGGTAGAGCCACACTAGCCAGGTAGCAGGAAAGGGTAGGCTCGATAGGAGTAGGACCACGCTCTCATATAATACCAGCGTAAAAGCGCAGCGTAATGCTGCTGTTTCATATGGTGAGTGTAAAGAACCGGAAAACCTTTTTACTGGAAGCGAGGCATTCCATCATCGACCTCATGGGTGACAATGCATCTGTATTTTGATTCTTTATTGAGGATAAATGTAGATATATGTGGGCCACAGCATCCACTTACAATCAGGTAAACATTGTGATTGTACGTCACTCTTATTCTATAAAAAAATCCTTATCGTTAATTTGGCGTCGGCGGAGGAGCATTCGTGGGTTCATTCAAGGGTTGAGGTGTGATGCATCTACGACTGAGTTTGCCCTAGTTTCGCGGTCATCAACCCGGTCACAAACAATATCGAATGAAGGAGTCGCAAACATTCGACAATTAATATGCCTACTATTACGATTACCGGGTGTCATTATTATATTACGGGATGGCGTCATAGTGACTTCATTCACCCACTCCCAAGCAAGGACAGGAACTTGTGGAATACAACGGTTTCAGAGTGTTCAGGTTTACGCGCTATTTCGAATTATTTTCGGGCAATGGGTATGCTTACGCCACGTAAATATTGTATGTTCGATATAAAGCCGCCACATCGTTACGAAGTGCCTGCACTGACCCATAGTAGAATCGCGACTGATGGTATCAATAATCGTGCTCTGCTTGCCATCGATGCCGCTTCTCATCGTTACTTTACAGTTACAAAACCATAAGTGAACGCAAAAACACAGAAGCACTCGCTTGACTTACTCAAAGTTTAAGCTATTTTTACGGATTTTATCGCGTTTAATTTTAATTTTAATTATTTTTATTTTTAATTTCCGACGTTTCGGGTGCTTTCCAGCACCCATGGTCACGGGGGACTGAGATGACTGATAAAATCCGTAAAAGTAGCTTTAATCAATGTGTAGTGTTCGCGTAAATATAAGAAATCACAAAGTTTAAACTTTAAACAAAGTCCAATGTGCGCTTTACTATCTTCGGCTACTTCACCACTTACCATTTATTGAAATAGTACTGAAGTACTGCCTTATTTTCATTCATTAATTCATTGCATACGTAACAATTCCACTGTTGAACATAGGAGTAGTGGATTCAATTAGGCCGAAACTACATAGCCGCAGTTAATTTAAACTTTTACCCCAATAACGCCTGAAATAGGATTGTACGAGTATACAGTAAACGGGGATAATTATATCACAACTAGACCTAAACCCAGAAATTGGTGTTTTGGTAACTTTCTAATAAGTAGACCAAGAAACCCTAATTGACTAAAAAACCGTTCTATACTACTACGAGCAGTAACTATGACAATTCACATTTAGTCGATTCTTCATCGAGGGTAGATGTAAATTTCATTTTGTGTAGTGGCGGCGCGAGATAACCCAATACCCTATTTCGCCCCTTGGATAAGTTAAAAGGAGGCTTTGATAAATGGTAGAATACCTTACATATATGCATCAACTAATTACAGTCTTTAAAAGTCCAATGCTGGACATAAATTGATCTTCCCATAGATTATAATCATACATATATCATTGGGAGTATGTTGCCATAGCCATCACGCTTGGCAGGCAGGTTGGCAATCTGCAGTTTATTTATTATTGTGAGTTGTTATCATCAGAAAGATGCTGATACCCATTTTTCTGTTTTAATTCCCCTCTGTCACTTTTTACAAAACCCACGTGACGATATGGGATAGTGGATAATCTTACACCACCACTCTACGGTTATACTTTGCGGCCTTCGATAAATAATGATGTAACCATCATCCATCTAGTTTACGCCAGGCGTAATAATCTAGACCTGCGACGGGCAGTTCCGTGCGAGACGTCTAGTACTGCGATAGTCAATCTGCCTGCAAAACGTGACGCTTAAGGCAAATCCTCTGTAAAATGGAAGAGGCTTATATCGAGTTGTAGACTGTACGTGCTGTATATGAAGATCACTAACTATTTGAAAATATATTGTGAGCATTATTGTGAGTAGCTCAGGGCCTAAGCGCTCACTGTAAATTTCACAGTACATGTGCAATCCGGGTAATTCCCACCAGCACTAATGACATTGTTACTTGCAATTTTAAGTGCTTATTTACCAGAGGTTGAGGTTGAGGTTGTGGTTTGAGGTTGAGGTTTCGGTGAGGGAAACATCGTGAGGAAACCTGCAGAGATTAGAAATAAAAAAATCGAAGATATGTGAAGTTCGCCAACACGCATTGGGGCAGCACGGCGAACATTTCCTTGCCCTAAAACCCTCTCAGAAATGAGAGGAGGCCTGTGCCCAGCTGTGGGACATATATAGGCTGTAACTTTAACACACATTGGTCTTAAACAGAAAATTAAAAATTCTACAGTGTATTAAAAACTTGTTGTTTTGCAGATATTTGGTGGGATTTAAGAACCTTTTGCGAAGTATAGAATGCAAGGGCATCGGTTCGGTGCTTGGGATAAATTACTTCGCTCGAGGATATTTACAGCCCCGATCGCACGAAAGGTAGGCTTGCTCAAAGTCATACTTACTTTATTTACTTTCGATCCGCCAAACAAGACATTTATAAAGCCTACAAATAATTTTCTGGGTCTGGTTGAACATTTTTGTAACAAATCAACGTATTAATGTGTTTAAATTTTTTCACAAAAATACTAAAAGCTCTAATGTGACACCCTTCAGACTCAACTTGATACTGCAAATCAGTACAGCTGGGGAAGCAGGGATAAAATGGTGGCAATATTACAGATACAATGGTAGCGTTAAAACTCCCTGTACATAGGACTAACTGAGAGTTCTGCGATTGCTGCGCTTGTGGCCGCCCGAAGCCAGAAGAGGCCGTGATAGCTTTCAACCAGCAAGTGATAAACTTGCTGGTCGAAAGTTTAAGGGTCATTAGGTTCTCAAAAACGCTTTGAACGAATAAAAAAGTATTTAAAACTATCTGTTACCCGCGGCTTCACCCGCATGGTCACTGGGAAATGAACTATCCATTACTTTTTGAATTGAAAGTAAACTGAGTTTTATAGATTTGTCAGAGATGCAGCCATTAAAAGGAAACTGAGCAAAATTAATACGTCAACCTATTTAAATGTTTTGAAACGTAGCGTATAGGAAAGTATGAAAATAGCCTGTTTATTCCAAATAGAAATGGGATATTTTTTTAATTAAAGGAAACTGAGCATAATTATCCGTCAGGGATGCAGACTTTTGAAAAAAAAAACTGAGCTAAATTGATTCGTCAGAGATGCAGTTTTCTGAATTAAAAGGAAACTGAGCTTAATAGGTCCGTCAGAGGTGCAGCATTAGGAATTGAAAAGAAACTGAGCTAAATAGGAAATTTTGAATTGAAAGGGAAGATCTGTGGGAATTCTGATTAATTGATTGTGGAAATTTTGGAAAAAAAAAACTAACTGAATACTATTTTAAGACGCTACTGTACACAATGTTATATGTTTTTCCATTCGGGGAAAGAATGTGGAGATTCTGGGCATTTGACACACGCGAACATGATACATACAGCTGACCATGAGAGAAGCACGGTTTTTCTAAGTTGACCCCCGCTACCAGTAACGTTTGCCCTTGCGCTTTATTAATTGTCATTGCAAAACTGAGCTTAATAGGGAACTGCAACCTTTTGAATTGAAAAGGAAGATCTGTGGGAATTATAGGGATCCGTAGTATAACAACATTTTCACCTTTTCCTACGCCTGTCAAAATTGTAGCACAGATTATGTTCCGTCCAAGATGTGTCACACGCAGCCTTGTCCCGTTACATAACCGAGGAGCATCTAAATTTCGCATTAGCATGACTGGGACGCCTAATTTTAATTGAAGCTTATGTGAGAGCACACCTGACAACTCTAGAGAATTTAGAAACTCTACGGGATATGAAGTGCTTCTGTGTCCATAACTGTGTCTACTGACAAATACTCTGTTATTTCTCCTGCTACTTCGCTTAATATATCTGAATTTATTTTGTTAACGCTCTCATTTTTTGGTGCAAGAATCGCCCTTTCACATAACCATTTGTCTTCATGCACGTTGTTCGTTAAATCTGAATAAACGCTCGCAATTAATTGAGAATGACTCTGTACTAAATTACAAAAATCTTTCGCAGCCCTCAGCATCCGTTTCCAACCGCCCATCGCCAATTTTTAATAGTGTGTCAGCATAGTTTCCAGCATTGATATCGTTATACAATTGCACTCTCATATCGTAGTGAAACTGAATTTTGTCACCTTCTTCCATAAAATAGACGACTTCAGGCATGTTTTAATTTCATCTGCAGGTGTGCCCTTTTGAACGACAGGTAAAGTTTGGCGAAAGTCACCAGCCAGTAAAACCACCATTCCTCCCATTACATCGGTATTGCTGCGCAAATCCTGGAGCGTTCGATTTAGTGCTACTACAGCTTTTTATGCGACATTGTACTTTCGTCCCACACTAAAAGTTTGCATTGTCGTAGCATTATACCTCGTGCACTATTTTTACTAAGCCAGTGCGGCCCACGCTTAGCAGCGTGGCGGCACAGCAATGTTTTTATCTTTCCGTACTTGCGCTAATAATAAATTTAACAAAAATGTCTTCCCAGTTCCTCCAAAAGCATCTAAAAAGAAAAGTGCACCATTTCCAGATTCAATTTGTCCTAATACTTTGTCAAAAACTCGTTTTTGTTCGGGAAGCAAGCGGGGTACAAATTCGGCTACTTGCTGCTGTAAAGCTGGTATATTGTCGTTTGTCTCACGTATAATTTCATCACTTAGTTCATTTTCGGTTGTTCACTGAGAGCTTTTCATTTCAAAGTCGCTTAATATTTTGCCTACCATTGCCATTACATTATCTTCAATTTTTCCAAGTGATTCATTATAAATGTATTCATTGTTTGTCATGTTCGCGTGTGTCTGCTGTAACCTTCGCAAAATATCTTCCGCCATGTACTCTTTATATTTGTCCCACAATTCATGTGCATTAGATAGCCCACAAGATGATATGAAAGTTGCATAAAGATCCCTAATTTTGGCTGGTGACTGGCACTGCACAGCTTCCTCCATGGTTTCATCCCAGTGATTATCGTTTTCTAAAAGATGCAGAGCTTCACATGCTTCTCTATAAGTTGCGCATTCCTGACCGTTGACAGTTTTAAGGTCTTTATATCCTGTAGGACCCCGAACATGGTGCAACAGCAATCGTAAACAGAAACATTCAAAATTAGTTACATGGACGGTATACACACGACCAAGGGCATCTGATGACTTTACACCGAGCCAATTTGCAACAGGCATGCCTTGAATACGGTGTTTCTACTCCTTCCTAGATGTGTTCCAAGTATAATAGCGGGAGACTTCAGAATATAACAACGTTTTCGTAAAGGGGTCGGTTTGACAAAGTTGAAAGAAGGCTGTTAGTGTAGTTTTTGGCGGTGATGCAATTCATTCTTGGAAATTTTTTTCGGTGAAATATACACGCTCTCCATTTTCTAAGTGCACAGTAAGGTGAGTAACTGTTGGGTGCCTTGCGTGTAAAGGGAAGCCAAGGAGACGCCACGCTGCCTCGTTACTGCTGACATAACGCCCTGCTTGAAAGGTCTGTACTTCATTAACGGGATTTGCCTCACCTTCACTCCTGAGATAAAAATTGCTTGGTTGCTTCCTTTATTTATGTACTTACAGACATACTTGATTGCGTGGACAGAGCTACACATTTTACATAGAATGGGCGAATACGGGACAATCCAGCTGTTATCTAAGGTTTCGAACGCTCCAGAGCGAGATTTGATTGTAACTTTCCTGCCACCATCTTCGAGAGCTCTGCGTCTGTATAAAGGGTAGCTATTGTCATTGTGCACTGTTTCTTTTAATAGCTGTTTAGGGAATTTCTTTGTACATTTTCCTTTTTTCATACATGGCGATATTGAATTTCGTACTCCACATGAACCGTGAATCATATTTCAGACGATGGTATCATACAATTCTTTATCTTGTTCAGGATCCGGAATCTCGGCGCTTATTATGTCGTCTATTTGGCTGGGCCGCAACTTCTTTTTAAGCCATATTAGAATGTGGGCATGCGGTAATCCTCTTTTTTTGCCATTCAATTGAATACATGAAGCACTGCACCTCTCCGAAAACTTTCCCTTTGTTAATTACAATCATTAATTTTTGTACTTTTAATCTAAATACTCTAGCAACTAAATCGTGTCTCTCAGTACTTTTTTGGCCCGGCATTAGCTCCTCGGTTATTTGTTTCCATGTCGGATTGCAAGTAAAAGTAATAAAAAGATAAGGTCTTCCGTAAGTTCGTACATAGGCGAATGCGTCTTGTGAGTACTCATGTAGGTAGCGGGGACTGTTAACGAATGATGAAAGCAGAAATACAATAAATCTCTGGGGTTTACATTGGCGTCGCTAGAAACTGCATCTTGTAAATGTATATAATTCTCAACGCGCAGCTTTTTTTGATTCAAAGATATATAACGGAGACGTTCACTTTCTACCTTCACATACATGTCTACCAAAAATTGATGAAATAATTGTCTAAACCGGGTTAAGAGGTTAAAAATATTTTTTCGTAACATCATATGATACGCATAAATATCCATATATGATACTTTTTTTTTCGGAGTAGGCTTCTTTGTTACCGGGTTAATGAGTGGAATTTGAAAATGATAACCCTCTTGTCCTTTGCAATAAATCAATGGGTATTGCAAAGCGTCATAAAACTTGTGTGTATCGGCTACCCGTTGCAACGTATCACGTGCTCGCAAGTCAATGTCTCGTGAAGAAAATTGATCACCACTAATTACGGCTGCTATTTTGTTTATCAAAGGTGCATTGTAGCGCCTTCCATGCTCTCCTCGAGGGGTCGGATCTGCGTGAATGACGACTTTATAATCCTCTTCAGGTAGGTTTTCTAAAGCAGTTTTAAATTTTTTGACTAAAATGTTACGTTCATGCAATAATCTTTGAATTTTGAACACTGTGTCTCTCTCAACTCCCTGGATAAATTGGCAGCGACGGTCTACCTCAATTTTTTCGTCACCCATAAAATATACTTGTAAAAATTTATGCTGTTCGTTTTCAGCTGGAAAAAGTGAACCTATTCTATGATAAATTTGCCCTTGCACCGTAATGTAGGCAAAAATCCCTTATTATTATTATTTCCCGGTCAACTCCGAAGGACGTCATTTGAAAGTATGAGTTATATTTCCGGATCCTGTTTAAAAAGCGCCGTGACTCATTAGCATCATATAAAAAGAGAGTTCTCAAAGGTTCTTCTGGTTCCCCAAGTAACGGAAGAGACACTTTGCCATTGGAACAGCACATGCCTGCGGTCTCATCTTTCCATTTTAAAGCTCTGCAAAATCGACAAGCCTTGTCCATCAGTCTGATAACAACTAACCTGTGATTTTTATAATCAATCAACGGATCATAATTGAATGCTGCGTCATTAGAAACTGACCAATTGTTTCTTTGAAAATTTTGTCGACGTTCAGCTTGGAGCTGTGCATTTGCATCTCTTCGCGCCCGTGTCTATTCTGGTGTTTCAGATGTCCTTATAGTAGTTTGACGTTCAGCTTGCTCAATGAGTCTGTGTTGAGCTTCATCAGGTGTTTCTGCTGCTCTTAAGGCGGCCTGACGTTCCGTTTGTTCGAATAGCCTTTGTTGACTTTGAGCAGGTGTTTAAGTAGCTCTTAAAGTAGATTGACGCTCTGCCTGTTCAAGACGCCTTTGCTGACTTTGATCAGGTGTTTCAGTAGCTCTTAAAGTAGCTTGACTCTCTGCCTGTTCAAGACGCCTTTGCTGACTTTGAGCAGGTGTTTCAGTAGCTCGTAAAGTAGCTTGACGCTTTGCCTGTTCAAGACGCCTTTGCTGACTTTGAGCAGGTGTTTCAGTAGCTCTTAAAGTAGTTTAACGCTCTGCCTGTTCAAGACGCCTTCGCTGATTTTGAGAAGGTATTTCAGAAGCTCTTAAAGTAGCTTGACGCTCTGCCTGTTCAAGACGCCTTTTCTGACTTTGAGAAGGTGTTTCAGAAGCTCTTAAAGGAGCCTGACGCTCTGTCTGTTCAAGACGCCTTTGCTGACATTGAGAAGGTGTCTCAGATGCTCTAAAAGCAGCCTGACGCTCTGCTTGTTCTTGCCTTCTCAGTTCAGCATCTTCTAAAGTTTCTAGCGATCGAGCTAATCTTTTCGCTTGTCTTTGAGAAGATACTCTTGAAAGGCTGGAGTTATGTTTGCGAGGCATTATGAAGTAACAAAAAACCCTTTTTATAAAAAACGTTAAAAAACCTAAAAGGAATTAAATTTCCTTTTAAATATTTTTTTTAAAGCACATCCAAAACATCTAAAAGGAAAAAATATTCCTTTTAAATATTTTTTAAAATCAAAACAACAAAACCAATTCAAGACACAACACGAATCCGAAAACGATAGCCAAAAAAAATCGAATCAACTTAAACCAAATCACAAAACAAATCGCAGAAAACCAAAATCGAAAGCAGTAGTCAATATAAATATAACCAACGAAAAAAGAATTATGTGTATAGGTACCGTATACACTATCTATACTATTAATATTCCTTTGGAATATTGTTAAACAACCTAAAACAACAAAAACCAATTCACGATTCCAAATAAACAAAATCCTCAAATATCAAAGCCAGAGACTAAATATGTTTAAAGGAATACCAACCAAATCAACAAAACCGATCCAAAAAAATACACAAATCCGAAAATGAAAGTCAATATAAATCCATTCAACCTTAACCAAATAACAAACAACCGAAATCGAAAGCAGGTACCTAGTCGAATAAGCTACGGAATAGAAACAATTTAAGCATATAGGTACCGTATGCACTATAAGTTGACGGGCGGCTCAACGGCGGGAGTTAAGTACATGTCAGGAAACATTTCATTACCGCGTTTTAAATACCTAGTAACGAGTCGGCTCGACATCTCATTCCCGTGGGAAAATAGAATATTTCCCACGGGAACGGGAATGAGATGTTTTTCCGCGGAAAAAGTAGCCTATGTCACTCTACAGCCACAGAACTATCCCCGTATCGTCCGTCTTGTAGAATCACGGTGGCGCCACCTAGCTGAATTTAATTTTATAATATATTCGATTTTCTCACGGGAATTATATGTTTTTAGCTTATGTCACTCTATAGCCACCGAACTATCCCCATACAAAAAATCATGCCATGCCGATGCTCTGTTGCGACGTGAAAGAAGGACAAACTTGTGCAACATATTCGATTTTTCCACGGGAATTAGATGTTTTTTCCGCGGAAAAAAGTAGCCTATGTCACTCTACAGCCACCGAACTTTATTATATACCAAAATTCATGCCATGCCGACGCTCTGTTGCGACGTAAGAGAAGAAGGACAAACAAACAAACAAACAATCAAACACACTTTCGCATTTATAATATTAAGTATGGAGTATTAGTTTACATATAATTAAATTCATGAGTTTCGCAAAATTTCAGTGTACATTATTTATGAATTCAGTGTACCCCAAGTTAAATGTTATACGATTTAACGTATTTATCTGTTGATTTAATAACTAGTCAACGCATTAAATTTAAGTAGCGTTACACGTAATTTTATTAATCAACTTAACGACGATCTATGTCAAAAGGCCGTTTTTATTTCATTTTTTTTTCAAACAAATTGACATACTTAAAATTAAAACGATGACGAACACGTGTTACATGAAGTCTTAAAATTGACATTTAAAATTTAATTGTTGCTGGCACGGACTCTCTGTACTCTACGGTTTATTTATATTTTTAATTGTAAACGACATCTTTAGATTATTCCATTAATAACGGTAATTAATTCTGCCGTTATAAAGTTATTTATATTACGAAATTAATGTTAACAAATGTAATGGATTTTGATAACGTTATCAAGATGCGTATTTTATCTGTTGACGTTAATTTTCAGCAATATTTTTTTAAAGAATGAAGGTGACAAACGAGTACACAGTCCACCTGATGGTTAGTGGATCCTGTGGCCCATAGAAATTTACATTTATCCTCGATTAAGAATTAAAATGCAGATGCGTTGTCACCTATGACGATTACGATGGAATGCCTCGTTTCCAGTAAAAAGGGTATCCGGTTCTTTACACTCACCACAGCAGCAACATGCTACTAATTTACGCTGATGTTTTGTAAGTGCGTGGTTCTATCCCAACCGATCCGAATCATTCGTGCTATAACCATAATATGGCTCTAGCATGGCTCTACCACCTTGATAATAAATAAAATATTAGAGTAGATGTAAGGAATCAATTGCTGAAGTGTATAACTTTTTATTTCCACTAAAAATTTAATTTTATAACGTATTTAGTAATAAAATGTATTTAAAAAGGGGGCTTCTTACTAATGCCAGTAAATTCGTACTGGGTCAAACACATAAGGGTTCAATAGCTTGAAGTTATATAGAAAACTCGGCCATGTTTTTATTCACCCACTGGAATCACGGATACGGAGAAGATTAGATAAGTGTGCGATATTTAATTGATTAAGTTAATTAGATTTTATTCTGTTTGAAAGCAAAATAAGGATACAGTATATATGCATTCCACAGATGGGCAAAGAGGCAAAGACCTATTATTTCTGAGAGAATTACTAAATACTTATTTTAGGTAAAAATTTGTAATAAAATAAGGCATAATGATTTCTTATATTTACGCGATTACACTTGACTGATGGTAAAAACTGACCAATCTTCTTCAGCGGCTTGAAGTATATTTTGATGGAAGCGCGCTTCAAGATGTAGCCAATCTTGTCAGTGACTGCTCTAACATATGGCAGTACAGCAGGTACACGCTCGACTGTGGCCGGCTTCACTCGTTCACTGTGACGTAGGCGCGGGACTCGAAGCTTGTTGTCATGCAAAACTTGCTTGACTTGGTGGAGCTCGGCAGCCAGGTGTTTACTGTCACAGATCCCTCGTGCTTTACCCACGGTAGCTAACTGTGAAGGGATGATGGTGAGAATCACCGTTTAAATATCTTTCTGTATGGGTCTTTTTTCTATACACAGTATGGCTCAAGGTTTTATCAGGATTCCGAATTAGTAACACATCTAGAAAATCTAAGGAATAGTTGGCCTCTAACTCCTGTGAACTGAATTTTAGAATTTATAGAGTTAAGATGGTCTAAAAATGCAGTTACTTTATCTAAAGGTAGAATTGTGAAAGTGTCGTCTACGTACCGCTTGTAGAATCTTGAATTTATGGGAGAACTAAGCAGGGCTTTCTCCTCAAAGTCTTCCATGAATATGTCGGTGACAATGAGAGATACAGGTGAGCCCATCGCCACACCATCTGCTTGCTACTAGATGGAAGGACCAAGGATGATTCGCGAGGCTATTGAAATCAAAAAACATCCTAATTTCAATAGAGAAGATGGCTGGGTGCTACCATCTGCTTGGGATCCTATAATAAATAAAATTAAATCCCAACCCAAGCATACAACTGCAAGACTTCAAGATACCATAAGTTCATACTGTATAGATCGGAATAAAAGTTAAATTTTAATCTATGGTAACCGCGGTTGACTATGACATATGGACATTGAACATCTCAGTCTCGCCCGTAACCATGAATGCTGTAAAGCGTTCGAAACGTCGGGTATTTAAAAAGTTAAATATACGCGATAAATTCCGTAAAAATTAGTATTATTTCAAAATAAGGCATATTTTGCATTTCAGCCTCCCGCGGTGTATCGTACGCTCCACAGTCACCTTAGAGAAGATTTACGGTGATTTATTTTAGAAATTTCTTCTCAGATATATAGCGCATATGGTCCTGGGTCGTGATCTTCTGGACAACACGCTGAACTTGGTGCCATCACTGATACCACTGCATATGGATATCAAAGAAGATAGCCCCGAATATCAAGTGCTGGAAAAGAAGTAAGTAGAACGTGCGAGTTAGTTTCATATATTTTGGATTATTTTACATATTTAACCGCTAAAAAGAACCCCTTTGTCGTATCTCCTCAGTTCCAAGGCACTTCCCTTGTTGCCTCAGCCAGTATCGTCAGCCTCGGCGTCGACATAAAAGGTGACGTGCAGTTTCGTGGTCACTTGGAAGAGAAGGCCAAATTGGCTTCTAAAAAGCTTGGCGTACCCTGCAGAGCGGGACAGTATTTCATGCCGGCACACCGCCTGCAACTTTACAAGGCGCAGGTTCGTCCGCACGTCGAATACTATTTCCATCTCTGGGCTGGGCCTCCCCAGTACCAGCTCCTTCCACTAGATCGCACCCAGCGCAGAGTGGCTCGAATCGTCAACGACCGAGTGCTTTCCGATCGGCTCAATTCACTGGCACTGCGAAGAGATGTTGCATCTCTTTGCATTTTCTTTCGCATATACCATGGGGAGTGCTCTGAGGAATTGTTCGGATTAATCCCAGCCGCCAAATTTCGTGAACGCACTACGCAGCAAACGTCCCGATACCATCCACACCATCTGGATACTTGGCGGTCCACCACTGTACGTTTCAAAAGGAGTTTTCTTCCGCGTACAACCTCTCTGTAGAATAGTTTACCACCGGCGATTTTTCCGACCCGATACGACCTGGGGACCTTCAAGAAAGAGCTTACTTCTTTCTAAAGGGCCGGCAACGCACCTGCAATTCCCCTGGTGTTGCGGTTGATCATGGGCGGCGGTAGTTACTTAACATCAGGTGAGCCGCATGCTCGTTTGCCCCCTCTTCTATAAAAAAAACCCGTGGCTCCGTTCGCGTTTAAACAAAATCCTACCAATTTTTATGCATCATGAATTAAGAAGGTTGTATTTTGGGATATGATAAATGTTTTTATACAACAAAATAAAGCCTTTGTCCTGTTCTAGTTAGTCATCTATGACATTGCTAAGTTTTCTTCTTTTCTAAACTGTTCAGTAGTTTGCGATTGAGTCACAAACATGCAAACAACTTTCACATTTCTAATATTATGTTCACTTTTTTCCATTATTATTTCTTATCTATTAGCTAGATAGCACAGCAGACGTTATTCCGAGCTTATCGGAGATTGCGCGATGAGTTTCATTTCTTTATTACATTTGGTGTCGTGGTTGAAATTAGTACTTACTTTAAGCACGTCATTACTATTTATAAATATTTAATGACGTGCTCAATATATGAGTAACGGAGACGGTATAAGAGTGACGGAGTAATTTTTTATATAGATTTAATAGAGATGAAAAACGATTAGACTAAACTTGCGGGCGTTAGTTTTCATCAATGTTTTTTAAAGAATGAGGGTGACAAACGAGCATACAGTCCACCTGGTAGCCCATAGGCATCTACATTTATCCTTGATTAAGAATCAAAATAAAGACGCCTTTTCTCCCCGATTCTTTACACTCACCAAACACAATAGCATTAAGCTGCTATTTTACGCTTATATACGGTGAAAGCATGCTACTTCCCAGGTCGAGTCGACTTGTTCGTGCTACAACCATAATATAAGTATGGCATACGATAGTGGATACTGTTACACCGCCACTGCACAGTAGTGCAATTAATATTATTTTTCTACTCCTAAACTACTTAACCGATATTAATCAAATCTGCACACCGTGTGCACTTTGGTCCAACTTAAGAGATAGGATAGTTTTTTTGCCCATGAGTGACCCACAATTTTTTTTTGCAAATTTAAGGATTTTAATAGGACATGACAAAGGGTCGTCGAAAAGGGCAGAATAACGTCTACCTGGCAAGCTAGTTATTTAGAAATTTAGCTGCCTCGGTACAGCCCTTTTCTCGATGAGTTTTACTTCGACTCCAGACGTTTTACAGTGTAAATAAAAAATGTATTAATAACAGCACCGCGTTCCGGGTTCACATTTAGTCATTTTAACATAAGATTCATTTTGATTTAGAATACAGAATCTGCTAATAACTTGAAACCAGGGCCTTCTATCTGATTCTAATGTAGCGACGTACCATTGGCTCGACAAAACGAGCATGGTGGCGATCACCTAATTCTCAGGGGTTATTTTCATTTATGTATTCATTTATATTATAATAACCCTATTTGTACAATTTTTCTTCAATAAAACGTTTAAACTTGTTTAATGTCAAATTTTGAAAACTTTCTGGGATGTAGCTAAATATGAGCTCAATCGGTCAAATCATTCAGCTGTTACACGGTCACTATAAGTACACAGACGCGCTAACAAGCATGCTTCAAGCTTCATATTAGGCAGGGTAGCTACAAAAGTGCATCAAAGTAATTTGTTTTCAAACTCGTCATGTTATTAAGCCATGTTGTCAATATCTGTAAATACGCAATCTTTTTCAACTTAGATCAGCGTCAAGAGTCAATCGAGGGCGATCAACCTATTGTTTACACAATGCTCTCAACGGTTTTCTCGCGGGTAGTAACCATATGTAAAGATTGATAATTACTTCCAATCCATTTCCACGAGTCGGGATAGACGCTGTGAATCTTATTACTCTAAATGTAACATAATAAAGTAAAAAGTCTATGTTTAAAAAGTTTTATTGCTTTTCAATGTTTTATATTAAATGGTTAGGATTTCCTCAAAATAACAAGAAGGAAACCTAAAAAATTTTGTACGACCGACTTTAAAATAAAATGAGAACATCAATAATGTGTTCAAAGTCAACTAAACACGTATTATTAAGGATAACTCACCAGAGAATCACCAGCTTTCAAATAAAAAGAGAATCATCAAAATCAATTTTACCTAGAAAAAAGTTCAGAGGTACACATGAAAGACATACAGTCGAATTGAGTATCTCCTCCTTTTTGAAGTCGGTTAAAAATAGCCAAGTTCGTTTTGCGACACGCATCCCGATGTGCAGATATACCTATATAACAATCAATTTCTGTCCGTTAGTTTCACTACAACCCGAAAATAGCTCGACTGATTGTGATGAAATTTTCTGTGTGTGTTAGAGTGGGCCCTTAGATAGCTTAAATCCACAAGTGGACCCCGTAGGTGATGCCGTTGTCGAGATCCAAAAATCACCCGTGCGAAGCTGGCTAACTAGGCTTTTATATTTTTTTAATTCATTGTTCATTACAATGTCAATTGTAGTAATTATGTATATATATTGATATCCTATATTTACGTGAACATTAACAATTTTATACTCCCGACGTGCCGAGAATTTTACAGTACCTCAGTCCCCCCGTGACCATAGGTGCTATAAAGGTATAAAATGCTCGAAACTTCGGGAATATAAACAAGTTAATATACGCGTTAAAATCTGTAAAAACTGTTATTATTTGAACTATGTATGTAGGTATCGTATAATATCGAAGTAAGAGAATCCACTACCCTTTGTCACCCCGTGGAAGTTGTGTGAGGTAGCTGATGGAAACTGAAACAGGATTTAGGCAACACCATATACTTGATAGCAGCTCAAAACAATTAAAATCTGGCGGCCAACTCACCTGACAAGTGTGGTGACTATGGAAAATATCCCCCTTATGATGGCATGAAGGAGGCCTAACCATTAATGTTTTAACAATATAAAAATAACTCTGAGTTTAAAGTTAGCCAGTATTTCAAACAGGCACTTCAATGTTACTTATATGTATAGATGTGTTATGTTTTATTTATTTTTTAAATATTTTTAACTATTATAAGCTAGTGCTTGTCTACTATTCCATCTGGTGAACGATGGTACGTGGTGATGTAGCCGAAGACGGCAGAGTACTTAACTTAACAAAATCCTATACACCCTTGCTTTGGAGACAACTACCTACAATGTAATTGGATGGAACACAGATGCTGGCAAATTATACCACTCTTATATTCAGATGTATATACATTGTTTTCATGCGATGGCTAAGTCAAGCTCTATTTATTTAAAACATAAACGATTTTTGATATTCATATGGCCACTATAAGATGTTGTTAGGTTAACTAATTACGTAATAACTTAAAACAGACACTCTAAAGTAGGGACTGAATAAATTAACCGACTTGGTATTACATGGATCTCACAATTTTTACGGTAGAAAAACTGAGTTGCGGGACTTGTTTTTTTTTTAACAAGTTATGTTTTTGACGGCATAATTTATTTTTATCTGTACATACATAGTAGATGACATCAATTTTAATTACAAAAGAAACTTATCTTAAAAAAACCCTTTACACCATATATCTTGTTTATCCTTTTCAATAATGGATTTCCCGGAGCTAACCTTTGAATCTATTAAAGGAAGGAAAGTAATTTATATCGCCCAAGAGGCGTACAAGATGCACTAGCGTTACGTGGACTGCATTTACGTTAATAATTTTGCTGCATCAAGGTATTGGTTGCGGCAGTGTAAAATGTATTTGTTGCGCAATTCTGGTTAAAATTTACGTAGCTTTCTTGTCAAAATTAATTCGAGGCATTTTAATAAATAATAAATAACGTCATCAAGGTTACTTCAGCAGTAAATTGATGGGCAATAAGCTTGTGTTTTTAACTACATTTTAATTTTGACATATAATTTTCATTATATATATATAATGAAAATTATATGTCAAAATTAAAAGTCAAGGGTGGAAGATCTTTTTTTATGGTAAAACTAAAGGGACAGTAGAACTTGGGTATCCGACATATCCCAACTGATCAGTAAGCTAAAGATGCAATAGGCCGGCCATATAGCTCTAAGAACTGACAAGCGATGGGAAAGGAAGGTTCTCGAATGTACCGGTGAGCGAATGCTAGGGCGGTCCAATATTAAATGGTGACTAGTCGTGTATTTACCACGTAGGTGAGAGGTGTAGGAAGTCGGTGGATGTAGGTGGTTATGATGGATGTTGAGCTGCGGATGTATTCGGAAGCGTTCCCGTGGCCTTGCTATTATGCGAAGAAGGTCTAACACAACCCGTCCGTGCCCCCGTAAGGCGGATATGCGTAGGCATTTCCCCATGAAGGT